TTACTACGTACCTGCTGCGCTGAAGATACCGTTACGGAGAGAGAGAGAGAGAGAGAGAGAGAGAGAGAGAGAGAGAGAGAGAGAGAGAGAGAGAGAGAGAGAGAGAGAGAGAGAGAGAGAGAGAGAGTGGCCGCACGAGGCACCGCCAAGCCCCGACCGTCACCGTCCAGCGTCGAGGCGCCGATCTTTGCCGCACGCCCGCCATCGTCGCGCAGGCCGCGCAGCGTTTTAGTGTCCGGCCTTGGCCGAACATGGCCAAACGCGGCCGAACGTGGCCGAACGCGACCGAACGAGGCCGGAGCGGCCATGACGGCCACGTCGTGGATGCCGCCGCGGGGGAGGCCAAGGACTGCGAATCTCGGAGTGCGCTGTGCGTAGGGAGGGGGGGGGGGGGGGGGAGGAGGTTGTGGGACGATTACGGGTGGTGCGAGGCCCAGCGGTGAGGGGACTGGCGGTGCACGGGGGACTGCGGGTGGAGGATTCATCCCGCAGTCTGATAGGGAGATGGCGAGGTTGAGGCGGGGCAAATCGATTTGGAACTACGTCACCACGGGGCAACTTGTCGGGGACCATTCGAAGATGCATGGGGACCGAAAGTTGCGTTGCAACTTTTGCAACCATGTGTGGCAGGGGAATGCGACGAAGGCCGCTCGCCATTTCACGCAGCCCAAGTACTGCAAGATTGCGGGGATGAGAGTTCTCGCGGATATCTGGAACAACACCGGGTACACGTTCATGGACAAGAGTGCTCGGCGGGTCCAGAGGTGGATGGCAGACGAGGGGATTCGGGATACGAGATCGACCACGGATGGGCAGCGGCCACAGGCAGACGAGGCAGAGGGGGACGAGATGCAGGACTTCCTCGATGCACAGGAGGGGGGCAAGGGCGGGGTCGACGAGGCGGGGATGTGAGACGAGGCAGCTGGACGCTGCGAGCCCGATTTACCTGGGGAGGAGGTAGTGATGACATCGAGAGCGGATGGCCCCGGCGGGACGCGGTGCGAGGGCGTCACGACCAGAGTTGGAGCGCGCTAGGAGGGACAAGAGGAAAGTGGGGAAGGAGGACGTTGACGTGCGGGACACGGCGAGGGAGAAGAGGGCACGTCCGACGACGATCGATGAGCTGTACGCGAAGGAGAAGTTGAGCGAGTTCACTGACGCGTGGCTGCAGTGGATCTACGCGAAGGGGTTGTCGTTCAACGCCTTCAGAGTGCCGGAGTTCCAGAGGGTGCGTCAGGCGGCGGAGAGAGTCCCCCACAACGTTCGCTTCTAGTTTCCCTCCTACAGGGTTACAGCGCGCCCGGGATCCCTTCGCAGAAGGGGAAGGTGGCGACGATGGTGAGCGAGGTGCGGGCCGCTTTCCGGCACACGGGTGCCACCATCCTCTCCGACGGAAGGAAGTCATGTAGCGGCAAGCCGCTCGTGAACTTCCTGGCCGGGGGCGCTAAAAAACGACAAAAAACGAGATGCACAAGTTCTATTGCACCGAACGGCCCTCGTGACGTGAACTCTGGCCAAAACACGATGCCCACGGAAAACAAACGCGCCCTGATCTACAGACTGAAAACGAATTTCCCGCCCCCATGCCAATCGCCGCAGACACTAATTCCAAACAGACAAACGACGCCCACGACAAGAGACCACAGATGCCACCATACCCAAACGACACCACTAACCCCACATAGGACAAAGACACAATTGGCCAAGCATGCCCTAACCCACAAGCATGCTCACGCATGCACCATAGCTAGCCCAACTCCAAAACGACAAACTAACGCACACGCCCCACCTCACTGGAAAAGCTTACGAGACAATCAAAGCACCGACCAGAACACGATATGCGCGGCAAATAAACACACTCTGATCTACAGACTGAACTCAGATCTCCCGCCACTGAAAAAATGCACCTAGATGAACCCATAACAACTATGCCACAAACACACATACCCCTAGTATACCGCACTCACCCATTGTACGCAACGAAAATGGGACAGCTACTACACCTACTAACATGCTATAAAGCAGACGACGATTGCATACAAGCATTTGCAACAATGCAACCGCAATACTTCGCGCTCTCTCTCTCCCCCCTATCACTTTCACGACGCCGCAATACACAGTACCTCGCTCTACCCCTCTATCACTCTCACAACACTACAAGACTGCTTCTTGCGCCACACTTCTTGCTTACGCTCGGGCGACGAGCAAATTCGAGCGCTCTAATGCTCGCGGAGACGGCGCCATTCCTAATCTTTCCTAACCCCCTCTTGCCTGCGCTACACTCAGATGCGCTCTACGACCGGCTTAACGATAAGAGGGAAGATGGCGACTGTTGAAGAGACATCAGCTGCTCAAGCTCTCCGCTCACAGGTATGACCCGTAGGCATACCACTTACTCCTACCCCTCCCCTACCGTTCCAAACACCCATCTCCTCCTCCCCCTAACCTCCCCGGTTGATAAAACCAACATGGAGCCTAATCCCTCTGATGAGCTGCTATGGGTGCTAGGCGGCGAAAGCGCGCTTAAGGGCGTGCACCCCCCCTATGGTTGGCTTCTCAAACCCTCTCCTAACCCTTGCTAACATGCTAACACTAATCCTAACTGCTCCTAAAAACTTACATTCTGTTGTGTGAATCCTGTGCAGAACTAATGGACAAACTGGTTATGTCTATGGTCCCATACTTTGGGATAGCTGTGTTTATACACAAAACCCCCCAACACACTCTTCCGGATCATAGATCCCGTTGCTATGGTTGGGGTTAAATCCCCACCTTTTTAGAGTACGCCAGCACTCCGATCTAATCGTACCACAGGAATACCAACCTTACATTAACAAAACTCCCCACCCATCTACCCTCCACCCCCGCCCCCCACCTCCCTACCACCCACACGACTCACCTTCTATGACTACTATAATGCGCACTATCGTTTTTATGCCTGCTTCACGCTAATACTATGCACACAGTTTATTATACTACGTAAATTAATCTCACCATGCACTTACTAAACCTTTAACGATGGGAAAACAAACCAATTAATCCCCTCGTATAGCTATTACTTAAGCCTTGTAGATGGCGATCGACTGACCGATTATACAAAAAAAAATGCATAAAAGGAACCACGTACGCACTTTAGCTACCGATTGTTAGATCATGCACCGTCACAAGAGAAGGATTAAACTCACATGCAGTACTACACAGAGTATGCGTCCACTAATCGATGCTGCATACGCATCTTATTTTCTAACGATAATGACGATGTAAACATTATACGGACAAGACCTCAACAAGGATTGACTGGATCTGCACCATATAAGAGGATGATCTTCACAACGGACAGCACTGCTCGATTGATTCAAAAACGAATGATAGATAACAGGATGTCTCCCAAAAAGAGGAAAGTTCGGCCTTCGTTCTGTAAGTTTCGTCGCCCTTACTGCCTAACGAAACTTCGTATAATTTAGCGCGGGTACTCGCTAAAGAGATTGTATAATGAGTCTACTATTTAGCCTCTTCTTTTCGCTAAACGAACACGTCTGGTCTACGAACTTGATCCCGTTAAACCCCTTGAAATCATCGGGATAAGCTTACTCGATCTTCAACTCACGACCTTTACAATCGTAATGGTTCGCACACGGCACACAATTAAGATATATACATAGATGACATACCGATGCTAAGGACGCACGTTACGCAGCTTATCGCACACGCGCGCTAATGAAACAAACTAGAAGCGGTCCACTCATACTATGTATGTGTGTTTGTACATAGTAAATTTTTTTAAATATAATCGATTTTCTTCGTTTTATGAGCCATAGGGTCAAAAGTATTTTGTGGACAACTTCCCTGGTTCAATACTAAGAATCATTGTGCGCTGCTTATGGTATCTCTCCAACCCCGTATGACGTACCATCTGATTAAATACATGGGCAGTCTATAGAATGAAAGGTGGTAAAATTGAACGCAATTGTGCGTATGACCTTCCAAATCCCCCCCCCCCCCCCCCCCCCTAAAATAGACCTTCCGATGAATTAAACGTCTTTAGGAAACAGAATCAGCGTCATATTTACATCTTTTTGTAAGTATCATCAGTATGAAAGCATGGATTTATTTCCGCATCACCAGGATTTATGTGCACATCACCAGGATTTATGCGCGCATCAGCACTACGGATATACGTTTTTTTCGGGGGTATCATCCTACGGGCACAAGTATTACTCGTACGAGTAATCATTCTAAACTTTCACTCAACCTAGGAACATGGGATGAGCTGTGTGCAATAATGTATGGATTGGAATCCTAGTCCATTATCGTTGGAGGATAATTTCTCAGACAGAATTCGCGCCTATTAATAAAACTAAAGACCTATTCCATTGCTTATAACTTATCCACGTAGGNGTCCATTATCGTTGGAGGATAATTTCTCAGACAGAATTCGCGCCTATTAATAAAACTAAAGACCTATTCCATTGCTTATAACTTATCCACGTAGGTGAGTTTACTGCGTAAAATTATTTGCTAAGCAACCACACCGCTTGTGGATCATCGACTTACAGCAACAAATTTGCCTATGGTAAGTACAAACACCCACCCACGTCCCCCCGCCCCCCCACACTCCGCATCTTCCGCACCGCATTGCCACTGCACTTCCTCTTTTTTTCCTCTATGAAACCCTAACATGTTGTGGCCGATCTCTGATATGCTATCATACTCACATAGTGGTGAAAATTCCAAAGCTTCAATGCGCATAATATCATCATAACTCGTAATTCTCAATAAATACGAATTTGGGAATAATAACTTACAACGCTAGAACACTAAAAAGAACTTGTTTGCTTCGTGCAAGATCCGTCATGAGATCTATGCACACATATCTNACGAATTTGGGAATAATAACTTACAACGCTAGAACACTAAAAAGAACTTGTTTGCTTCGTGCAAGATCCGTCATGAGATCTATGCACACATATCTTATCTGTATTAAAAATATTTAGCGGACAACTTTACTATCTCTCTTGCAATATCTGGATACTAACTGGGATAACTTTACACCAAAAATAACAACCTTTCGTGTGTGTAAGCCAAAAAATGGTTTGGTTCGGATGGAGGACCTGCCCCTGCTGGGGTAGGTCCAACATCATTGGACCTACCCCAACATGACCTTTATCATGAGGGTACGGGTAGGGACACACACACACACACACACACACACATACACACACACACACATACACACACACACACACACACATACACATAGGCTACCTTCTATTATATAATAATTTTATAATATTAATAAAATTAAAAAAAAAAAAGATTATAAATAATAAAAATAAAAAATAAAAAATAAAAAAATAAAAAATAAAAAGATTATAAATAATAAAAAATAAAAAATAATATATATATAGTCAGGGTTACCGGCGTTCGGGACGGGCCGAACGCCCGAACCCGAATGCCCGAACGTACAGGACCCCTTCGGAAGGCGTTCGACTATTCGGGCCGAACGCGGACCAAAAAAAAAAAAAACAAAAAAAAAACCAAAGTTTTCAAAAAATTCCGAAAAAACAATATGTTATGGAGAAAAATAAACTAAACAATATTTGCCTAGGCACCACATCCAAATTCTTTACAAAATTGGAATTCAAAATCAAATACAGAAAATAAACACTATGATAAAAATAAGAAAAAATAAAAAGAGAATTAAAATGAGTGAGTGTGATTACTGAACAACGTGTGTATGGGACATCATGCCCCGCCGTACACGGACGGCCTCAAACCGGCACCCTCCTGTACAGAAGCGAAGTATCGTAACGACTACAACCCTTGGAGGTGTTATAAAAACTGCATCCATAGTGGTCGTGATATGCAGTCCACCTCCAGGGCTGTAGCGTCCTTGAACTCACACCACACACACACACACACCACACCACGGACTCGAACAATCCACACACACTCCGCTTGGACAACACGCAGCTCACCACCACTACTTTATCCCGCTCACACACAAGGGCCAACTACCCGGGGGTTCACGGGCGCCTTCACAGTGATTACTGAACAACGTGTGTTTGGGACATCATGCCCCGCCGTACACGGACGGCCTCGAACCGGCACCCTCCTGTACAGAAGCGAAGTATCGTAACCACTACAACCCTTGGAGGTGTTATAAAAACAGCATCCATACTGGTCGTGATATGCAGCCCACCTCCAGGGCTGTAGCGTCCTTGAACTCACACCATACACACACGCACACCACACCACGGACTCGTGTGCCAGCACCTTTTCGACACCGCTATCTTTGCCGATTTTCAATTATTTTTTGGCATTGAAAAATACCCTGAAAATTTACAGATATGTAGTTTACATAATCAATAACTTATTAAAATTTTTTCAAAAAATAATAAAATTTTGTAGGCCCTGAAATAAAGTGAAAACAAAAAGTTAAAAGTGAAAAAAAACAAAATAGTGAGCGGGCGAGCACGTTTTGACACCCCCATCTTTGACGATTTTTAATGTTTTTTGGGCTTAGCAGAATAGCTTTAAAATTTACAGGCGTGTA